GTCTATCACTTATATTTGCATACTTTTGATATGTGAAACCTAATGTACGGATTCCTTATTGCGTTAGAACATGGGGTAAGGCGATTTTGCATGTTGTAATGGGGTTCAGGTGCCATATTGGCCCTATCAGTTAATTATGGGCAGACCAGTCATCATCCAGTCATTAATATGGCAAATAACTTAGTGTGACGGCCGTATTTTCACTTCCAAATTTGTTGTGGTTGTTTACTATGGCAGAATTGGTGATACTATTTGACATGTCTTCAGGTGTGTGGGTTGGTGAAAAATTTAAAATTCGCATAGGCGACAAGAGAGACCATGAGTATTTGCCGTAAGCTTTACTATGAAGCAGGCTCACGTGATTCAGAGCCGACTAATTATCTTTTTCTGTTTTCCTTTTGTGCCCCCAAAATTTACGCTAATTTCTCCTCATCCATTGTGCACACTGTCATTGTAACATGAGTTATTCCTTTGGGCGTTAATTAACTCTATGAACTCCAGATAATGCTGCTTTACAAAGGCAAATTTTAGCTGAAGTACACATAAGTGCTTTTATCATAGCAGCTACAAATAGAATGACAATAATGTTGCAGTTATAACATCAATAGAGAACACTGTTGTTCGGTATATTAAAATTTTTGCGTAGTTATACTCTATAAAGTTATTAATGGCGGAAAATAATTCAGATGATCTTTCGTTCTGGTCGGTGTTCATTGCCATCATTTTTCATGATGGTATTTCATCGAAGAACTACTTTTACACTAGCTGTTGATATGACCCAAATTTGGTCGGTGCAACAGGAATACCTTGTTGGGTGTACCTAGTCCGGCGTCTTCTGTCATAATCCTTTCCAGCATCGGCAGATAAGACAGAAATAGGTACTTTTCACAAGGTCTCCTCGTCACTCCGACCAATTTGAGAAAATAAGGTAGAACCGATACTATACAGATGAAGGCAGCTGCGACCAAACTCAAGGGTACATCATCTTGGTCTTCGTATTTTCAATACCAATCTGAAAATTTTTTGATACAACAAATTACAATTATTTTCACATGAGTTACATACTTTGGTAGAAGCGAATGAAAAAATTTGTATAACGTGCTGTCCTGCGTCCTCTGCTATGTTAGTCATGATAAGTTTCAGCATCAGGCCTTTAACTTGATACATAGTCACACGTTTTAAGGGAAATGTAATCGTGATCGTCAGTGAGAAGCTCCATTCCTAAAAAAAGATAACTTGTTGTTTGCTGCAAAGTATGGTGCTTTTTACTGACAATGCTGATCACGATGTTGGCTAAGGGAGACTGCAGCCGAACCTGAGGCCACTTGATCTTCATATCTAGGTTATACAAATTTGGTTGTTGAGATGCAACCATTGTAACTGGCTTGTGAGGTGGACTGAAGGTGAGTCTTCATTTTTACTCTAAATCTCACCCTACACTTCATCCCATAAGGGCTGTAATGTAGGATGAGTGGTCAAAGTTCTCTGGAAAATTAATTAAAGAAAATATGAAAGCTTCTGATAAAACCGTTTTGTTTCGCCACTTTCCTACAAGTTTGTCCAAATTTAAAGAGGAAAGCATTAAGGCAAGGTTAGAATATGAGAAAACTTAGCAAGCTCTCAATGTCATCCCAGAAAGTGGTTATAATTTTCATTCCCCATTAAACGAATGTTATTTTATATAAAGCATTAAGAATAATTTTAATCAAACACCTGCTTCTTAAGCCTACCTAAATCCTCATATCAACAGGTTCTATCCACGAGCCTCTTAATTCTAAGAATAATTGATTTTAAAAATCCAATCTTTATCTTGCAACTATGTCTGGAGAGAAAATTCAGAATAAAACCAGCATAAAACCAGTCTCGTGAATATCCCTACCCAGCCTAGTAGCTCCATTAAGTGTCATAGCCTTCAAAAATGGTACAGTATTAATATTCTCTAATTACATTGCAAAATTAATATTAACTTTCCGAAAAAAGTGCAGAAGTAACATACTATCTAAACCATTAATAACATGTTGCCGACAAGCTAAGCATTCGATAATTTATCTGATTAGAAACTTTGGGATTAATAAAAATTCTCCAATGGGCAGCCCTCGGTTATTTGCATAGAATTATTCATCTTAAAGTGACCAAACAAGATCCCATTGTAGCTGCATGAGGCCTTTCATAGAATTTATCATACCAGGTAAAATCAATGCTTCTTGCTGATTAGTTAGGCATCCTTAAAGCTGGGGCTTTGCTGGGATAGATCCATAAATTTTTTAGTTTTGTTTCTCCACAGTGAGTGAAAAAGCTTAAGTTCTTCCTCACCTGGAATGTTGTTTTACAACGAGGTAACCTCAAACTTTTTAACATATCTTCTACTGAAAGTTGTAGCTAAATATGTAAGATGTATTCACCCTATTTCGTTTAAGAGGATGAAGGACTGGTAATTGAATTTGCCTACAATTATATGAATAGACCTTACGTCTCCATTGAATTTCACATGGCCTTACTTTCTCATCCAGGATGTACTGCAATTTCGGCCCTTGTCTGGGTCTCATCAGCAACTTCTATACATTTTTGCATAAAAGACGTAAAATCCTATACATCTCACTTCTTTTGTTCATAAATTTGATACTGAAGATTTCTCCTTCTATTTTCTTTTGCAAGCATGCTAGCCACAAGTGTCATACTATTTATCTTAAGAAGCTTATTTATTCTTAACTCTCCATTTCCCCGTTACTTACTCACTCCTTAAAATTATCCGTAAGCCTGGTTCAAACTTCTAAGTTTGATATTCCGTCAAAAGTTGCACTTAGTGTTGTCTTTTAAATGGATGATCTATCTAAGACAGATATTGTCCTTTGTTCCAAGTACGCTTTTTTGCTCAAAGTCGCATACATTTATGCCTACATAAATATGTGCAAGCAAATAATGACATTAAAGTGTGTTCCAACTCTGACAATTTCTATCATATGGCAAGACAGGTACGAGCTCAGTACAAATTCACTGGAACGAAGGTGGGTGTTTCGATGACTGCGGCAACCTGATCATGAAGCTCTGGACAACAGACAGCTCTTATTAAAGTGATGTGCTATGAGCATCTTCCAAAAAGGAAGATTTCTACGCATTATATAGTTTACACCAAATTTAATTCAAGTGGAGTTCTTCAAAGTAGATACCATAAAAGTTAGCCACCATGTAAAAGACGATCCCAGTCGAATAATTCTTACTATCATTACTTAGTATGGCGTGAAATTATGTGAATCCCCAATTACAAATGGCGTCAAAACCTTGATCTTAAAACTACATTGAATTCAATAGAAGGATAAATTGGATAGCTCCACAGATTATCATCATATACAGCTCAAAAATCATGAGCAGTATAATATTTTCTGAGGCGTAAAATTGTCACTAAAGACGAAATTTTGAAAATCCTTAAGTTTGATCCTCAAATAATCCTCGAATAAAAAGTAAATACATTTTGTAAATATAGAGAAAAGCTTAATTTCAAAAATTCCCTGACTAAATTGTTGTTGGTGTACCTTTAATTTCGCTTAAAGAGACGAGTGGAAGGGATTTGTAAGTTGGCCTTATCGGAAACCGAAGGAGGATTGCCTTAGAGCTGTGGTTGTAGAATAGTGTACGGGGCTCCATAGAAAAGTTTCGATTTCCAAGTTAAGCAATACTATATTATTAAAAAGGTGGCTCAATCATTCCATATTTCGTTAGTTCACTAACAATTTCACTAGTTTTGGCTAAATGGGATAGGAGTCGAGATCGAATTAAATGCCCTAGACTTTCAACCAAAGTATGACATTTATTTCCTTATTTCGTTTAAGGTGATAAAGGACTACTGGTAATCGAAATTTACCACAATTCTATCAGTCCTTCATCCCTTTAAACGGATTGGGGTGAGCATATTTCATATAAATGATCTATTGGCAGTATAGAAAGCCTTCTTACGAAAGAAAAATTTCAGCCGAATTGGCTGGATCGAGAAGTGCCTCACAATTTTCCAGAAATAATTAGCTAGAAGCTTCTTTAGACATGGATTTTGTGAAGAATAACTTATATATGAAGTTTATGCACCCTATTTAGTTTAAGATGATAAGGAGACTGGTGATCTAAGGCCACTCCTGGCAAAGTGGCGTAGTGGCTAATATGTCGACATTTTACGCAGCACTGTCATGGTTAGAGTCCCGCTATGGGTATTGATAAGACCTATGCGTGGTCGAAACTGCAGCACACCAAGGACGAAAATACCTTTTGGGAAAGGAAGGCTATATGAAATTTAATGGGATGAAAGTTCTACTCATATCATTGTAGAAAAATTCAACCTCCAGTCCTTCATCACTTTAACGAAATAGGGTGAATACATCTCTGAAATAATTTTACTGGCGCACTATGTGCTTTATCGGAATATTCCATAATCACTCATTGAAACTCATTAAACAACCTATATTGGTAAAGTGTTATTGAATAGTTTGATAGTAAATATGAGTTTACCTTATTGACAAGTGTCAAAACACCAAATATTTATTTCAAATTCCTAGCTTGATTTAGAAGTCTACAGTCTCACTGACTATTTGTCACTATGACTACGTAACTAAGACGTGGTATGTTGCACTCTAAATATACCACTCTATGTTAGATAATCGGACAAGAAGTTTGCAAGGCTGAGCAGGCTGAGGCCTTAAACTGATTTCAACGAGGGCAGCTCAACTATCAGGCCATTCATCGCCCAAATGGCCCGGAAGATACACTAAAATGCATTAGGGCTTGTTAGACACGCTGGAGAACACACCGTTCAAGATAACTAGCTCCGCCTGAAGTCAAGCATCATACGGAGCAAGATCGATCAGGATGCATCTTGTATGTACATTTGCTGCCGTAGAAGTTAAGGGTGATTGAAAAACATGAAATCATATTACATGCTTATACATAACCCTACAGCTCCTTTTTTCTTTTTCTCTTTTATAGAATTGCACATCAGGTACTAGTACTGGAAACTACACCTGCCTACACTTTATCTTTGGGCTGAACAGGCAACTTGGCTCATATCTGGTCGGTACCTACATCCCAGCTATCTTGATTGTGATGGTCTCTTGGCTGAGCTTCTGGATCAGCACAGAGGCAGTGCCTGCCCGTGTCACCCTTGGCCTACTAACACTCATTGCCATCCTCACAAAGGCAAGTGCTCCTTTTCACGCCGCTGTCAGTATTTATCGTTTATGCCACCAGTCGCCTCTCCATGTCGGCTGATGAATGGCTCACTTTTACCTATTCAATCAACCGGCAGCCGAATCTTGGAGAGGGTTGGGTTAGTTCATTTTAAAATTAACGGAACCTTTGGAAATGCCTGCTTATTGCTCGTGATGACGAAAAGGTCTTCAGTAAATAGCCATTCAGGCGGGTGATCGTACTGACATTGGAATCGTGCTGGTTTGGTACAATTAGTACAACTAGTTACTTTCTTTGGCTGCCAAAGACCTTTTCCAAATATATTCCTTATTGGGTTGCGCGATCCATAATTTAAAATTATATTATCGGCAGATGCTGCTGAACTTCATGAAATGAAAAGCTTATAAAGGTTAAATTAGGCTACAGGCGCTTCGAATCTAGAGAATAAGCTGAATTTCAATGAATTCTCTTGTTTTTAGGATGTTTGATTACGTTTTATCTTTAAAGCTTGAACTTGTTATGGAATAAAATCCAACCCTGGCAGTGTCTATAAAATAATGTGTTAAACCAAAGGGCACCATATTTTAATATATTTGTGGAGATTTTCATTTTGTATGAAAGTTCATGATGAAGAGATTCGTATGTCGACCTCGCCTGAAAACTACGGCTGATTCCTATTGTTCTACAGTCGTTTAGGTTTACTAAGCTTTTCAGGTTGATGCAATCAACAAGACATCCTCAATTCGTTCCGAGGGAAACTAATATTCAGTCGGCATCATGGGATTGTAATTTGTAGAACTTAAATAAATTGTGGAAATCATAATCTATGAATGAATGAATTCTAATTATTTACTCTCTATTGTTAGGCTGTATGAAAATATACAAGATGTAACTATGGGGTAGTGTTCTTCGAGGTTAATTAATTTTCTATCTGGTTTACTTGAAGGTTAGCCTAACTCAAAAAAGGAACCAAATATAATAATTATTTTCGAGGAAATCCATAAATAAGGGTTCATTTCTTAACTACTTCGTCAATCATTTTTATGTGGTTAAATTAGAGGTTATGAAATCAATGGAGGCCTGATTGGTCTAGAGCCTGGTCATAGTCCTAACATATAAATTAACTTATGACAACTTACAGACTGCAGGATCAAGTTTATGTGTATAAGAAAACAGCTGCTGGGTCACAACCGCCTAATCTACAAGCTTGTAGCATATGCATGGAGTAGCCAATTAAATCAGAGGATATATGAGATAATTGGTAGTCTCATAAACCTACTTGTAAACGAAAAATAACTCAAGAAATGCGTCATTAAGATTAGGTTATAAGGAGTAAGTATGATTGGCCTAGTAATAAGAAAATTTATTTTCCGTTTATAAGTAGGTTCTCGAGAGTACCATAGAGATTCGTTATATATTTAGTATATCCACTCTATTTCGTTAATGGTGATTAAGGACTGGGAGTTGAATTAACCCATAATGATATGAGTACATATTACATTGTCAAAGAATTTCACATAGCCTTGATTTCTCAAAAGGTATTCTCACCTAGAGCGAAGTGAAGTTTCGATCTTGCCTAAGTCTTAGTAACATTCCTAGCGCGACTCAAACCATCAAACTGCAGCGAATAATCTCGAAACATTAGCCACTATTTATAATTAATCTACTGTTAGTCTCAAAAATCTACTTATA